TAAATTTTTTTGAATTAAAAATAAAACAAAGAAAAAAAATATATATCTTAAAATTTACTGCATCTACTTTTATTTAATCTATTTACATTTATCTGGCCTTGCCTGGCCTGGACCGGTCTTGCATTGCCTGTCCTGGACTGGCATCGCCTTGTGTTGTTTGGCCTTGCCTTGCCTTGCACTGCCTGGCCTTGCTGGGACTTTCCTTTCCTCCCCTTGCCTTGTCTTTACTCTGCTTGCCTTGCTTTGCCTTGCCTTGCCTGGCCTTGCCTTGCTTTGCCTGATGTGGCCTGGACTTGCATTGCCTGGCCTGGCATCGCCTTGCCTTGCCACATCTGGTGTAGCCTGGCCTGGCCAGAACCAGCCTGGCCAGTCCTGGCCTTACCTGTCTCGACCTTACCTTGCAGTGAAAGACCTAATGTGACCTCTCCTTGCCTTGCTTACTTTGCACTGCCTGGTCTTGCCTGGCCTGCCCCTGCCTGGCCTTGCCTACCTTCTCTGGCCTCAGAAGGCCTATCCTTGCCCGGACTTGTCTCGCCTGGCCCGGCCATTCATTGCCTCTTCTGGCCTAGCTTAGCCTTGCCTTTCCTTGCCTGGCCTTGACAGGTCTTCTTTTGAATTTCCCTGCTCTGCCCTGCCCTGCCTTGCCTTGCCTGGCTTGGAAGAAAAAAAAAAAAAATTATTGCTTTTTTTTAAATATCTTTTCAATTTGTTCTAGATAGTTGTATTTTTTTTTTTTGAAGCATGATAAAAAATTATATATAATTAATTTAATTTTAAATTCAATAAATAATTGAATTGAAATTTTGAAAGAAAATTAAAAAGTATCCTGTTTTTATTATTATATAATTTTTATGTGTTTTTGAATATTATTAGTAGCTTCAATGTAAAATTATTAGTTGTAATGAATTATTTTACATACAATCAATATTTTTAGAAAGAATTTATATTTTTAATAAGGATAAATTTTTATTAGAATAAATAAATTACTTTAAAAAAAAACAAATATCTAATTATTTAAATAGTATATATAAGGTATATACATTCGTAGCATCAATATAATTTTGTAACATTTAAAATTAATATAACGTTCTACATGCTCTGTATTAACTTGTTTTCTCATTATTAAAGAGAAACTATTGATCACTTTACTAATAAATCAACTAATAGCGGACATCAGAATAAATTTAGGTATAATTTGTTAATTGATTTAATTTCATATAATTCTTAAAATGTAATATTTTTTCATAATAGGATAAATATATCTTTTTTTTCTTAATGATTAAAAACAAATCCCAAATTTTTGTTTTATTATTATTTTTTTTCTATATATACTTTAATAAAACTTATATTAAATGCAGAAACTTTATATTTTAAAATTCTTTTAAATATTTATATTTTTTACTAGCATTTTTATAGAAATAAATTACATATAATTTTATTCACATGCATGTTACAGTTAACTGTAAAATTACTTCAACAAGTAAAATATTTGCTATCATATTTATTTCTTATTTCATAATTGATATGTATATATTATTTATTATTTTAAAGGATATTGATTTTTTTTTTTATTAAATTATTAATAATATGTAATAATTGAAATACATGCATATAAATTTTTAAATATTCTATTTCATTATTAAAGTTCAATAATTATATCTAAGTATTTTTATGTAATGGATGAGGTAAAATTTTCACTAATTTGTTATTTTTTATTACAAAATATATTTTTTTCATTAGATACAACCATAAATATCTTTTTATTGAATTTTTTTTAATTATATAAAATAGTATTTTTATGAATTGAATCTATTTTTATTATTCTTTTCTTTTTATTTTAATTTTTACTTTCATAATATTTATCATTCGATTTCAAATGTAATAATACAGTAAAATGAATAAAATTTAATTTTAAATTATTTTTTTAATGATCTTTTAATTAGCATGCTGCTAATTTTTCAAATTAACATTATAACAAAATTATAATTAATTGTATATTAAATATAGTAAATACATTCAATAACAGAGAAATCTCTAAAGAACTTATATCATTTGTATTTCTTTTTTCATTACTATAGTATCCATAAGATATATTAACTAATTTTATTATTGATTTAATACTATTATCTATTTTTTTTTTTTATTAACAATTTAAATAATTGTAATTTTTATCATTTTTTTTTTTACGACATGTAGTTTATTTTTCTTTCTATAAAAAATTAGTTTCTAATTTAATTCATTATAGAACATGGTTAAAACTAAAAGTATATATAATGGGATGTTTTTTGAATTAAACATTAGTATAACTATTTTAAATATTTTTTTTTGTTTTACATGCATAGGAATCTTGTATAATATATACTATAAATTATTTATCTAAAATATTAAAAAAAAATTATTCATTGAATAGATAAATTATTTTGTATTTTAATGTTATTTATTGACAAATTATAGATATTGATTAGTAAATTTTAATTTTTAAATATTTTTAATTTTTAGTTTAATTAATCAATATGAATGATTTGATGATTTATATTTAATGTTTAATTTGTTTTTGTTAAATATTAATTTTTCATGTACAGATATTTTAAATCGCATATAGTATAATTAAAAAATATATATTTTTATTTTTTATCTTTTTCATTGTTTCTTTTTTCTTTATATTATTTGAGAACTACTTTACCTTGTATATTTGAAAAAATTACAAGTATAATCTATAGGATTTCTATTGTTTTTAATTAATGTTACATTGAACAACGTGTTAAGAACTATTCGATAATATTTGGAATTTTTTTATATTCAAAAATTTTGTTTAATTATAATAAAATATATTTTTTTACATCATATTATTCGAATTACTTGAAATAATACAGAAAATTTTAATGGTATAAATATATATAAACCAAGTGATATTTTTTTGTAAATTTTACGAAATTTAGAGATTATGGAGCATTCGAAAATAATAAAAATAAAAATATTTCATTTCCCAATGATGATTATCTATATTTATTTGTTAGTGTGTATATTCCAATATTTTTACAGTATAAAGTAATATTCATCATGAAAAATATATTTATATATTATATTTATGAAAATTTGCATTATTCCATAAAAAATAATTTTTATAATTTAAATTTTTTAATATAATTCCACTTTATAGTTTTGAAACTGGAAAAAATAACCTAAAAACAGAATTATGTCTCAGAAGTGGAAGAGTTTTAGCAGAAAGGCAACAAGGAACAAGAAGTAGAAATGTAAGATCAACCAGGGATATTAAAGGCAATTTGAAAGTTTGGTTAGATACTATTGAAGAAGGTTTATTTGATCGAATAGAAGAGTTAAAAAGTAATCTTACACTTAGGAATGCTATGGATTTTTCACAATGGATGAACAAAAAGAGTGATAATATTACTTATGTATTAAATAGAGTACCAGATCCTATTGAAAAGAAAATTTTAAATGATACATTGACTTCATGGAGAAAACTTACAGATAAAGTTTTATTAGATCAAATATCAGATACATATGTCCATAGAATGGTTATTCCACAAAAGGTAGCAACTACTAATGGTTTGTCAATTACATCTGCAACATCTAACCCTACTTCATCATCTAATTCTACTTCATCACCCACACCTACTCAATCATATAACTTAACTCCATTTCCAATATCTACTACATCACCTGTATTAACCATATCTCCAACTGTTTTACCATCCGCATCTGATTTATCACCCACGTCTGATTTATCATCTACAACATCTGATTCTCATATTCATACTACTACCTCTTCTACAAATGATACAAGTGAGTCACCTACTGTTTTTCCTACAAATGAAATAAATAGTACTACTTCTTTAACGAATAATCCAACTGCATTAATCCCTACACAACATGGTGGTGGCTTAACTGGTGCAACATGCACAGGATTATTATGTGCACCAGCTTTTGCTGCTCTTCCTATTTCTGTTGTTCTTCTTGGGGTAGTTTTAGTTTTTGTTCTTCTTTATATGGTGAGACGAAGTTATTTATACAAAAATATATATATATTTTTTTTTCTTTTCAAACCATTTGTATAAATTAAAATTACATTCATTAAAAATAATTTTTTAATTTACAATATAGTATACTCCTGTTGGAAAATTTCTTGGAAGAGATAAACCAAAAAAAAAAAAAGCAAAAAAAAGATTAAATGAAATACCTATGGAATGTATAAATTCTCCTCAATTGCTAAAAGTAAAAAAAAAAGAAAATGCAAAGAGAAGTGTATTAGATAGATTTCTTCGTGCATTCGGTTACGACAAGAATTTTCCCTATATAGATGAAGAGATAGCCTCAGATCAAGTAATATAATGGCAAAATCTTAACGGAGGAGAAATTCTAATATTCATAACTAAATAACACAGAAAAAGTATAATATTAAATTAACACAAATAAATTTCTTTTGGGTTTAATATATAATGTTTTTCTATTAATATAATATTAATACTAAGGAAAAATTTTTTTTTTTGCTATCTACTTATTTTTAATTTTTGTTATATATAAAAATGTGTAAATATGAAAAAGAAATGTATCGCTTCTTTTAAGANTAGATTTCTTCGTGCATTCGGTTACGACAAGAATTTTCCCTATATAGATGAAGAGATAGCCTCAGATCAAGTAATATAATGGCAAAATCTTAACGGAGGAGAAATTCTAATATTCATAACTAAATAACACAGAAAAAGTATAATATTAAATTAACACAAATAAATTTCTTTTGGGTTTAATATATAATGTTTTTCTATTAATATAATATTAATACTAAGGAAAAATTTTTTTTTTTGCTATCTACTTATTTTTAATTTTTGTTATATATAAAAATGTGTAAATATGAAAAAGAAATGTATCGCTTCTTTTAAGAAATAAAAATTTACTTGATTATTGATTTGTTATTTTCTATGTTAAACACTTTTATAAAGCATAGGATAACTAATTTCGTAAAAAGTACGTAAAATAATATATATTATGTTTTTTAAAGCAATTATTTCTATAATAGTAAAATGAGAATATGTGCTGTTTAAATGTTTAACTATCAAAAATTTGTAATATTTAATACATAGTACTAATATAAGATATATCAAGCATTTTGTGCTAGTTAACTGGTAAATTAACTTATTTATTTATTTTTGAATTAATAAAGGACATTGCTAAAATATTAAAAAAAAGAGTTAATAAAGATAATGTAAAATAATATCAACTACATCTGTTAATGTTATAAAATCTCTTGTTGTAAATTAAAAAAATAATTTTTTCGTACTTAATATTTAAATATTACATAATAAGCATTTTCATAAACATACATGAATAAAATAAATAAAAATATAATCACAAAATATTTTTATTCTTTCTATTTTTTCATTTATCTTTTTGTGCAAAAAAAAAAATTATAAATAATCATATACAAATAAATTATATATAAATAAATATTTATTCATAACTTGAAAACCATTGCAAATTAAAATCAATAAATTTGAATATGTTCTGATCTAAAATTTAGAATGTTTCGATTTATATCTATTTTCAGTCTTCTAAGATATGAAACATTCCATCTTGTATGTGATTTATTAATTTCCTATTAATAAACTTCTATAAATTATTTAACACACAAATTAATAAAGAACATGCAGAATAGTGTCCATTAATTTTGTCTATTATCACATATTTTTCCTATAAATAAGAACGCATTATATAAATTAATTACATCGTATGAATAATTAAATTATTTAACCTTATAATTCTTTAAATGAAGTATGTTTATCTAATATTTTATTTATTTTTATATACCTAATAAATTTATAAGATATTTAAAAAAATTAATAAAAAGAGCACTTATTTTCATTAGATATTAAATATTTAGTATAAATATAAAATTTTGATTAAATATATAAATAACGATTCTAAAACAATTAATTATTTTTCATGAATATTATTTTTTTCATTTAGAAATAAAAATGAGAATTTTCGCTTTAAAAAGGATATTAATAATTTTAACGAAAAATTATTATTTTATATAAAATAAATTTTTTACAAATAATTAAAGTATTTTATAAAGGATATTTATGTTTTAATGAAAATAAGGAGAAGCTATTACTAAATTTGTGATTTATTAATTTCTTATTCAATAGTTTTGTCATTCATTAATTGCTTCTTCAATGAATTTGTTATAAGCATTGAAGAAAAAAATTAATAAAAATTGCGTAGAGTTTCCCCTACGAATTTAAAGAATTTATGTATAATTTTAATTCTATAAGCCAATAAACTCTTTTTATATATTACCTACATCATTGAACATTTATTGTTTTTTTAAGAGATATTTACTTACTTTAATAAAAATCCTTATTTTTATTTACAATTTAAGTTCTAACTGAACATGATTCCTAATTAAATATATTTTTACTTACTATGTTATGGACAAAATTTAGCAACTAAATCCGCTGCATTTATATTAACCAACATATGTAATTGATTAAATGCATATTAAATTATGAAAACATTATAAATATGAAAATTTTATTATAATTAATATAAAATTTTCACTTAAAAATTCAAAATAAAAATTCACTACATAAGAAAACTCTTTATTCTGTAAATTACTTTGTATATTTTTCAACAAACTTTTTTCATCCTTCTATCTCTTTTTTTTTCTAAAAAAAAATAAATAACTTTTTCATATATTTATTTTATAAAAAGAAAAAAAAAAAAAGATTTTCTTGTAATTTTTTTTCTTTCTTTTATCTATCTCTAGCATGGATAACTATTTATTTTTATTCTCAAAAAGGTTAATAAAATCTCTTATTAACCACTTTTATAGTATTAAAAAAATTAAATTAATAAAGAGAACGTAGAAAAAACTCATTTTATTTTTATTAAATTAAAATACTAAGCAAAATATTCACTTTATTAAATAATATTAAATGCATCAACTAATTATTATTTCTCTTAATTCACATAATATCCCATGTATATCATAATTACCTTTTATTTTTAATCTTTCATAAAAAGAAAATAGTCTACTGATTTATTAACTGTGTGTTCGGTGACTTTGCTAGAGTACTGAACAAACAAATTAATAAAGAGCATGTAGAGATGCCTCTACGATTTTGGTGTATTTATATATACATTTATATCCTTTGAACGAGTGATTCCTAATTATGTGCTCTACTTCGTTCAGCATTCTTTAATTACAATAGACATTTATTTACTTTAATAAAAATTCCTATTTTTATTAAAAATTTAAATCCTTATTGAATATTGAATATTAATTAAATGTATATTACTTGTTTCTTTGTTATGAGTTATGTTTAAAAATTAAATATATTGCTGTTGAATTAACAAACATAAACAATTAATAAAAATGCAAATAAATTATATGAATATTAATTACGTGAATATTTTATTGTCATATGTATAAAATTTTCTCTTACAAATTAAAAATATAAATATTATGCAAATTAAACTCTTTTATGAAAATATTATTATCTTTTAAAGATCTTATTTTTATTGGTTCTAAATCTTACTCTCGATTTTAATTTTACCAATTTTTCACTTTTTTTTTCCATCCTTTAAAAAAAAAAAAAAAAATATTTTTTTTTTTTTTTACGTATATTCATTTTTTCAAAAGAAAAAAATCTGAAAAAAAATTTAAATAATTTTTTTTTTTTTTTTTTTTTTTTTTTTCACGTTAGCACAACCAACTACGTATTCTTCATATAGCTAGTCCTTTTTATAACCAAAAAGGTTAATGAAGCCTTTTATTAACCATCTACATTATCATTCTCAAAAAAAAAAAAAAAAAAAAATAATAATAATAAAATCATTATCAAAAGAAAAATTAATAATTTTAAGTCATTATTACAATGAAAAATATAGAATATATCTACTTTTTTTCAGTGTATTTACTTATAGTGCAGCTATTTTTTGTTAATGTACTTTTACTGCATATATACTTTTTTTTTTTTTAGTACAGGTTTATGTGTGCACATTTTCCTGACATTTTAACATGAAGAAATAAAAGAGTTTTTACTTATTTTATTTATTTAAATATTATTGAAAATAAGTGATTGAACTATTTATAAACGGAAACTCTTATATGTAATCTTATTATTGTATTAGAAATTCAAAACGGCAAATAATATCTTTTATTTACTAGGTATTAAATGGTTCTTGAAGATAGACCTTAAAAAAAAATTTTATAATATTTCATCAAAAAAAAATAGTAAAAAACATATAAGTTTTATAGTACCAATTTATGTATATTTTGTATTTAATATATTTCCATTTTGATTCAAAATGAGTTCTGCATAATTTCCAAAAATAATGGAAAATATTTTTAAGGACTTAATTCAAGAAAAACATATAGTGGTATGTGCTGGTGATAATATCATTTTAACGAAAAAAATAATATGACATGTTAAATTATTAAGATAAATATGTAAAATTCTTATCAATAGCTATCTAGTGATAAATGTATAGATGTGTAAATTCTTTAAAATATCTATAATATACATAGAACAAATAATATATATCAAAATAATTAAACCTTCATTAAGTAAAGTAAAAAAAATCATTGAAGCTTAATAGGTGGACTATAAATAATATTATATACCTCTCTTTTATAATATTTAGAAAAATAAACTAAACAAGAACATTTCATTTTGCGCATGCTAAATCACAGGAAAAATATTCAATCATAAAAGAGTACAATAAAATTTTTAATCAAAAAGTATATACACTAAAAAAAAAAATAATAAATAATAATAATTTTTTTTTTATGTGTGTATCTACAACTTAATAAAATTATCGTATATATACATTTTTTTTTAAGCCTGTTATATTCAAAAATAAAAAAAAAAAATATATTATGATACTATTTTTTTTTTATTACTGTTAAAAAAAATGAATTCGAAAAAAAAAGTTAATTTTTTTTTTTGGAATGATTATGTAAAAATAACTATGGAGTTTATATATTTTTTTTTTTTGTTAAAATGTAATAATATGGTAATTATGTTTTACAATGCTGTATAAATTAACTTGAAAAAAATTAAGTAGTATTTCATGTTGATTAATAAAAATAAAGATTTTATATTTAAATATTAATTAAATTAAAATTAAATTAGAACAGATTATTCTTCTTTCTTTTTATTAATATGTTTGTTCAATACTCTAGAAAAGTCATTGAATAGACAATTAATAAATCAACTGGTAAAAACAGTAGGAATATTGATACCATCTCAACAATAATCCATAATGGATTAGCAAGCTCAAAACGAAGAAAGACATAACAAGACTTGGACTATAGATATTTGAAAACA